CAGGGCCATACACAAAATAAGGCCTTGTTTAGATTACGGTTAAGAATCAGTATTTGACACTATAGTACTTTCGTTTATATTTGACAATTATTATCCAATCATGGCCTAATTAGACTTAAAAGATTCATCTCGTAATTTACAATCAAACTATGTAATTAGTTATTTTTTTATCTATATTTAATACTTTATACATATGTCCAAAGATTTGATATGATGGAGAGAGAAAAAAATTTACAATCTAATCAAGGCCTTACTGAGTTTCACGTGACCACAGAAATAATTATCTCTTTGACGTGTGTGGTTCCTTCCACTTCAGTCGTGCACTGCGTCAAGACGCTTCACCAGACTTCTGCTACTACCCTATGGAGGCTATGGAGGATTGGATGGTGGTGGTGCACTGGTGCACCAGCTGGCCACCGACGTCACCCTGAATGGAACCTACTATCACCTCCATCTCGAGTCACCATTACGAGTATAAGAACGATTAAGGAAAAAAGAAAAGTGAGAGCAAGACGCCACTGACGTGACGCTGAATCCGTATCAGATCCATCTCACTTGTACGAAGGGGAAGAAAAAGGAGAAGAAATTGCCACGGAGAAGAAATTATATACGACAGAAGGCACAAGAACACGCACGCGTGCGGATCAGAGCACCAGATCTGATGGAAAACAAACTATTAATAATATAACTTCTATCTAATAAGATAAATAATACTCCTACTAGTGAGTAGATCTGTATGTAGAACAAACAAAGAATAAACGCGGGGGATTATACAATGGCATCCCAACCCACATAGCAACTCTCTCTCAACTCATCAATCTCTATCACCCTCGCTCACCACGAACGCACGCACAAACGCTAGATCTGATCTCACGACGAACCCAACTATATACTAGGTAGTAGTATGCTGGTAATAAGCGCAGCGACGGCGCGGCGAACAAAAGCAGTAGCGAGAGCCATCGTGTCACACTCACACCACAGGCGACGGATCCATCGGCGCCGACCGACCGACCGACCTCAGAAGAAAAACACGGCGACCGCCACAACTGCGACCAGGAACAAGGCGGGGGAGACGCTGGACGCGTCGCTGGGCGGCGGAGGGGAGGTGGGGGCCTCCGTCGGCGTCTGCCCGATCGAGCTCGGCGCAGGCGGCGAGGCGGGGATCTCCGGAGCGGGTGCCGTGGCCTTGGGCGCCGGCGCCGGGACCGGGGCGGACTTCTGCGTCGGAGAGGGCGCGGGAGCGGAGGCCGGGGGAGGCGTCGCGGGGGGAGACGCCGGGGCTGGAGCCGGCGCCCCACGAGGAGGAGACGGCGGCGGCGGCGGGGTCGCCGGAGGCTGCGCCCTGGGCGCCGGCGTCGGGGACGCGCCTGGTGCCTGCGCCGTCGCGAAGACCAAGAGCATGGCCATTGCCACGGCCACGAGGTGGAGACGCGCCATTGGATCAGGAAACAGTGGGCGGTGGGGTTGGCGGCGAGTGCGCTAGGGTTTGGGGTTAAAGGTGGTGGGGTTTGGTCTCTCTGCAAATGTGGTGGGGGGCGGTGGACGGAGGCGAGTGCGCTAGGATTTTTATGGGTGTGAAAAAGGGAACGCGGCAGTATACAGTAAAGGGCAGCCCAACGAAACAAACCAGTAGCTATATATCGAATAACAAAAAAAAAGTACTATTTTTCAACTTATAATTTTTATGAGTAATAATTATTTTCTCTTTCTCTCTCAACTCTATCTTTTTTCTTCCAATGAAAGTGCGACACGAGCTCCCTAAAAACTAGTGGTTTCTTCCAATGACAATTTCATGGTTTCTTGGTGCATTGGGTCAAGAGTAGACCTGATTTTTTCATGGGGAAACCATTTCTATGATTTTTGCTCTTTTTCTTCATTAATTACGTTACCATATTAGCGTTTTACCTACGTGGTAAGTCATTTAATAAGGATAAAACCATCATCAATACATCATTGGTACTGCCCTAACAAATAAAAGGAAGGTTACACCACAACAATGGCAGGTTAATTAAAGTAGCAATTGACGCGTGATGTCGGTGGACCGTGAGACGATCTTGCTCGTCGGATCCCCGGTTCAGCGGCGCACAAAAAAAGAGGTCTCTTTTCTCGACAAGTATTTTCCAAAGCCAAATTCACCTTTTGTGCCAAAAATAGATACTGCCTCTCCTTCTCCTTATTTGCAATTGCAATTGCTATAGGCCTCTCCTCCCACTTAATTTTGGTACTTTTATTTCGAGGTTGGAAATGAATCCATATATCTTTGCGACAAATAGGGACAGATTTGCCAGGCTATTCCGTGACGCAAGTATAGTCTGGTAGCCTCCCGAAATTTCTTGGCTAGTTGTCGGTTGTCGCTCATGCTCATCTCGTGCTTGTTTCATGAATCTTTGATTGGGTCGTGTCGTGCAGGGCTGTAGGATCACTGAATTATATTTCTTAATAATAACTGTCAATAATTCGATTTTTTAAGAGATAATATTTGGTATTTCAGCTTACATATATATACATATAATAACTTTATAAGCTGGCACGGAGTACTTTTGCAAAAGTATGTGTGCCTGTACCTTTAAATTTCCTTACCACACGATGCGGTCGGTGATGGGGCTCAAGTCTGTTGGCATTCGCCTTCAAAAGCAAAGGAAATTTTGCTCTGTCCTTGACTTATCAGATTTCTTCTGCCTTTTGTATCTTCTTGATTCTTGACTTATTATAAAATAAAACGTGTCTCACACTCTCACCTCTTGTTTAATCACGTCTCTGCCATACCGAATTGTACACGTATTTTTAATATATACAGGAACAGCGTTGAGCCACTGATCTATTGAAAATATGTACTCCCTCTGTACTGGTAACCCAAGTTCAAGTGACACCGTCTCAAACATAACTTTGACTTCTTATTTTTTATAAAAATATTTATTTAAAAAGATATATGTATAATTCTTCTATAAAAATACTTTTTAAGATAAATCTATTCATAATATGGTTTTCATATTTTCAAACTCAACAACTTAAAAGTTATTGATGTTTTATATTCCCAACGTTTTGATCCAAACCTTATCAAAACAACTTGAATTACCGGTATGGAGGTGTATGTACTTATACGTAGTGCGATACTTTCTAAAAGGCAAGGGTAGTTACCGTAGTAGTAGTGCAGTAAGCTTTGCAAATAACTGCCGAACGAAATGATTGACTTGGTAAAGCTAAATCGTGAAATCGGTTTTATGCTAGCCAATGATATGCAAATAACTGTACGGTATGGTGGTATATGTATTTGTTTTGGACATGTTTCTGGTACTATCTCTAGTGATAGTGAACCATTTTTTTGACAAACGGTTAATAAGCGTAAATGAGTACATCTACTGAGTTTTCAGCGTGACAGGGTGGACCCAACAGGAAACTCAGTCAGAGACCACATTGGAAATTCATTTGGAAATCTTGAAGCTTTCTTAAGCATGAAGCCCTCAATCAGCGCTAAAGGGGGGCTACGGCTACTATCAAATCATTAAGACGCTCAAGTTTCAGCATTGACTGGACCATATATAGAAGTGTAAGCATCGTCGAGTCGTCGTCCTGTGATGCTTCTGCATCACGGTTCATCGCCGTAGTTTCAGGGTAACTAGACAAAATCTTCAAACACTTACGTGTCCAAGCATTCGACGGTCAGAGATGCCTCCACGGCAATTCAGTCGCAATGACAAAATACAGATTACAGAGTGATGGGATGATAATAGAGAGAAACTTGAAGCGAATTCAGACCTGACGACTACTGTCCACCTCTATATCTTGCTCACTCCAATGCATCGTTGCCCATGCTCCTCATGCGCTCGAATTTGTCGCATCTGTCCGAGGCATTCACCTGTCACAAATGCCCTGGGCGGGCTTATTAGAAAAAACGCCCGTAAGCGGACACTGAAGCGTGTGATTTATGAAGGCTCTAAAACTTGGCCATTAACTAGTTCACTGAACTTGGCATTTGGGTACAGGGAATGAATCATTCCCCTTGGTTCCTAAAAATCAAGGTTACAAGGTTTAAGGGTTTAAGGCCTTGTTTAGTTTCTCCCCTAAAGTTTACTCCCTATCCCATCGAATGTTTAGACACGTGCACAGAATATTAAATATAGACTAAAAATTAACTAATTGCACAATTTACGACTAATTTACGAGACGAATCTTTTAAGCCTAATCAGTCCATAATTTGACAATACTGTGCTACAGTAACACATGCGCTAATGATGGATTGATTAGGCTTAATAAATTCGTCTCGTGGATTATTGACGGATTCTGTAATTTATTTTTTTTATTAGCATCCAAACACCCCATGCGACACCCCAACCCAAAACTTTACATCTGAATTTAAAGGCCTTGCTCCCCCTCCCGGTGGAGGCTGCATGAGAAAAAGTGATATCAACACAACATATCAACTAGATATACAATCCTCTATCAAAACCACTACCCTACACAGACACTGTCCAAGAGGAACTTGGACATTCATCCTCTACTATGTTGCAGGGCACCATGCGCCCATGTATACTGTTTAGTATGGATACAGCCTACAGACGTGGCATTTGGAAGGATCTTTCTTCGCCTTATCGACCCAATGATTGGTTTTTCGTATGGCCTTGCAGTTCTGTTTCCAGCGGTTTGTCATTCAAAGAATCTTTAAACAAAATAAAAACCCTCAAATGTCCTGTTCCAAAACACTACAAAAAAAACAAAAAAAACATGATTGAGAAGATATTAACCAAATACTCCTAATTACAAGAACAAATATCTGCACAAAATTATGGAAGGAGCAGTTCAGTTGTCAAGGTATTTATAGGCACGATGTCTATGGTTGAGCTGTTCCGCATTAGAGCTAAACAGAGTGCAACACATGTATATAACAAGAAAGAAAAGGCAGCAGCCATATGCAGAAGACCAGGGGTGAATTTGTTACTTACACTTTACAGGAAAGGTCGTAAGCTAAGCAGTATAATCATGTCCATCTGTACATGGCCAGCTTATTTCACTTGTTCAGTTCTCGAACCAACGGCCTCCAATATATCTTCACTGCTGCCTTCAGCAACTTCCATTTCCTTCACCTTCTCAAGCTGCCTAAGGAGATCCAACCTATCGGGAGCATATGTGGACGGGATCTACACGATTGAAGATACAGAAAATTGGGATTTATATAACAAATGGCAACAGGGGGAAAGTAGCGTGTGAACTACATACCATCGATGGCACATATCTCTGGATGAAAGCCAAAATAGCAGCATGACCAACAGCGGTGAGCTGGGACAGAAAGGCAATTGTCAGAATGCTCCAACAGTAAACACACCTTACAGTCGATAGATTCACAGGTCAGAGTATATGATTGATATCACTCTTGGACACAACAAAATATTTTGCCATGGCAATTCAAACACCCAAATGAGTCTTAGTAGCCCACAGTCCACGCGGATAAGGTAAAAGGTTAAAAGGATTACTCCACACAAATTAAATGAAATGATAAAGTGGACCTAATAAGCCTCTACTTGTTAAAGAAGTAGAAATACAAGTACAAGAAAGACTCACTGGCAAAAGCATGAGTATTCCTATAGGAACAACAGATGCCAAATCCGTCAGGGTTCTTTGAAGAGCCTGCTTTTCCTTCTGAGTTAGTTCATCCCCAATAAGAGCTCTTTTTAGCAAACCCATAGCAGCTCCTGTATCAATTGCTAAGAGTTGTGTCCCCTGCAACACAGTCTGTGCAGAAAAATATGAATAAGAAACAAGAAGTTTTTTATAACTAGTACAATGGAAGTATGGAGCTAACAATATTGCGATGAGCGCCTTTGGTTTGGCAAATAGGCTTTTGGATAAAGTTAATTCGATTATTCAACCCCCTACTACAATCTTTCAAAATGATACCATGCCTTCAAGTGTCATTATTGTCAACCACAACAGAGGAAGAAAACCTTGCAATTACTACTATGGGATCTTAGGTTTAGATGGTCATACCGCTGTAGTCTCCTTGACCTTCTCCACTGATTTAGTTATGACATTTTCTTTCTTGGTAGCCTGACCGGAAGGAACTGATGAACCAGGCGATGGCGCAGTTGTTTCGTCTGCGACAACCATCTCCTGGAAAACAGGACTTGACTTAATAGACAATTCTTTGAAAAGGAAAAAAATTGTACGCATTGAAACCAACCATTGTGGTTAAGAATCATAACTCAGAAAACAACAGAACTAACAATACAAGATGCAATTAAGCTCATAATGTTTACAGAATCACTGCTGAGGTCCTGTTCCAAGAGTTTGCTCAAATACTGAAGAACCAGTAATTTGCTATTTCAAGATCCTGTTAAACAAGCATACCTCCTCCTTTTGAGCTTCATCTGCACTCTTCTGCACTCGCTTTTCTAACTCAATCAGCTCACGCCTTAACTGTTCAAAGCGGAGGATGTCATTTGACTCCGCATCTTTCTTCTCCACATTGGAGACAGTGCCCTTCATCAGCAATAAAAATGGGATAATACCATAAGATTAGGAATACGCTGCAATAAGAATCTTAAAAGAGAAAATTAAATGGTATTCTTTTGAAGACCATAATTATTTTTCAGTAATTAATTAGAGCCATGGTCAAGGACTGTTCATTAAACAAGGATGCATCTTGGAAATCGCTTCACCGCAAAATGTTGGTGTGTTCTTTAATGCACAAAACAAACTGCAAATATACAGTACAGCATACATACATCCTGATCTGCAAGAGCTGGATCAACTTTCTTTCCCAAAGACCGACCAAAGAAGTCCCAAAATGGACGGCGTTTATTATCCACCCTGACAAGAGAGATAGGAAACAACTGAACAGGTCTGCTTTACTACCCTGAAATCACATAAGCTATCACAACCATGTTTGAATTAGTTAATTAGTATTAGTTGCAAGAATACTCCACCTGCTTCCTGATTTTTGTGGTGCTGATGTATCGTTCGTCCTGCTACCTGTCTTTACACGTCCTTCCTCTGCAGGTGCATCGGCCTAATAAACCATAAAAAAAAGCACATTTACCATGATTGCAAACTAATTCTAGTTCCAACTGTAGTGCAACCAAATATGCAGTTTGGCATGTACTGTTTCCAACTGGTACATTAAGCACATAATAATCTGATATCATTATGCTGTAAACACCACCAGAAGGATAGACAGATGGTGACCGCTGCTTAGCATTAGAAATTACACTTAGGCCCGTTGTTTAGGCTTTTGATTTAAAAAGCTGGCTTTCTATGGGATGTCTTGTCCATTGGCTTTTGAATAAATATAAAATGTATAACCCTCAGAACAGATCCCATAGAAGCCACCAAAAGCGTCTTCAGACTTGCTTTTGGCCCTAATACAAATACAGCGCTTCTCAAAAACCAATTTCAAAATCTAGCGTTTTGTTTCACCTTCTGCCTTTTGACCAGAAGACAAAATCATAAGCTGAAACCAACAGGCCCTTAAGAGAGGATTACAAACATTGACGGGAAATTACATTGAGTTCCCATTGCTTAATTGAAAATAGATGCATCTGATGTGATGCTATCACTAGCCAATGCAACTAAATCATATTTTGGCTAAGATAACAACAGAAGCAAATTTATGCAATTCATGAGCTACAGTAATCGGAGTAACTGTTCTCGCCTGGCAGTATCCTGATGGACTGACCATGATAAGTGGAGTGCACTGGAAATCCATAAAAGGAACTCTTCCCAATACAATGAGATCAAAGACTTGTAATTGTAAGAATGCATGGCTATCCTTTATTAGAAGCAACATGTGTGGGTAAGAGATACTGAAAATAAAAGAAAGCCAAAAGGCTCACCTCCAGATATTCTGCTTTTGCTCGAAAGGATGCCTCAAGAAACTCAGCTTCTTTCTTCAGTCTTCTTATCATTTCAAGATCAGAGCATGCAGCCTGTAGATCCTCCTTACCAGAGTTCGAACTGGAAACGTGTAATTCTTGGAGCAAATTTTCTAACTTAACCAAAGCTTCTTCAACACTTTCAAGTGACTGCAATGATTAAAACCGATGTCGTCAACGCTTCAACAACTGAAGATAGCATCTATTTTAGAGGCAACTATCATCGTAAACTTGAAATAAGCAGATGGCATATCCAAAATAGATTTAATTGCAAATGATATCTGTCCACCACATATGCAATTGTCCATCCTTTTACTCGTGAGATCTTTCAATACATCTAAGGGCATGTACAATAGTGCCACCTGGACCATCTATTACATCAGTAAAATCTTAGGTGAAGCAAACTAGGAGAGCATATGATGTATGTAAGTATGTTATCTCTTAGATAAGAGATTGTCTCTTAGAGGTTTGCTGGGTACATAGAGTCAATGCTATACTAGTTCTCTAATTTCTTGTGGAGGCATAGGAAACATACAAAGAAACAGCATTTTATAGTTACCATTAATACCTTTGAGGTCACACTAAGAATTATATCAATCGTATAGAACATAAATTTTTCAGATGTGCAAAAATGTGAAAATATATTAGCAATTCTTAAAGGCATTCCGCAATAAATACCTTGTCAAAGGAAGCTAACTCTGTTCCAGTATCTAATTCTTCTTCAGGTTCTGGGAAGCCACAGCCTTTTGACATATTATTTCTGCAACATGTTTAGCAAACAAATAAATCTACTGAGTGGTAGAGAACAAACAATTCAAGCTCCTGCTTAACGCTTACCTTGATATGTCAAGCTCCTTCATGCAGTCACTCAACATAGCATGTCTACAATTATTAGCATGCAGTAGAAAATTAATCACTAATCACAAATCCATATCTGCTTTTTCAAAAAAAAACATAAAAACAAATCCCTATCTGCAAACAAGAGAAAGATAAGCATTGTCGTGACCAAATAATTACATACCCCTTAGAAAGGAATTTTGCTGCCTTCACATTTGAAGGGTTCTCAAGCCATGAGCTGTACTTTATAAAACTAGCCATCCAGTAAGAGCACACATTTAGGACTCTTGATATGACTTCTCCTTTAGACACTTCTTCTCTACCTTCAGTATCAGTTTTTGCACTTGGAACATCATCATTGTAAAAAGGAAGCCACTCGAGCTCTTCACAGACTACCTGAACGTAAGAAAGGCACATGAACACTGAATGCTGAGTAGCATTAGAAGCTCAGTATATTGCCTGCATACTGACCTCCACATACAGCTGATATGAACTAATCGAGGACAGCTGTGGATAATATAGTACACTCCCACCGATAAGATACCTGGGTTATTGTAAGCCCATGATTCAGTACAGTAAATCATATTTGGGTAATAAAGAAGGTATATCATCTTATTAACTGAAACGTCATTTCAGTGAGAAAATGGAAAAATATAAATTCACATAGATCATACCTTACAATACCATTCAGTGAATCATCCAAATCAGTCAGACCCTTGGAAGACAAATATCCTTGTGTGCTTCTACCCAAAGCAATGAAAAAACCAAATATTGCAAGATCCTTTTCCAGAACCTGCAATGAGGAATAAATAACTATATAAATTTGAAGCAAAGGACGAGATTTCTATGACTAGATGAAAAGATCACTTTTAGTTTCAACCTCAATACTTTCACTTGTTGTCAGTCTTGACCATATCTTTTCACGATCAAGTGCCCGGAGTAATTGTTTCTGAACCAGTTCAATCCAAAATGATATCTCAAGTCCATGATCATTACCAAGTTTAGGAACAGCAGCACGAGGACCAAAATTATACAAAAATTCTCTCTGAAGGCCAATATCTTTCGTCAAGTTATATGCTTTACTTAGAGGGGCAAACTCAAGAAGCATATCCATGAATCGACCAATAATATCAGGCACCATTGAAGAAAATTGCTGACAAGAAACTTTTGCTGATCCAAGTTTTGTGATTGCAGCAAGACAGATCAAACCAGCATAAGCAGAGAAAGATCACTTTCACTAGTATTCATTGGCTCGCCTTCACGACATCTGACAGCAAACAAGAGAAAATATCAATGAGTCTTGTACTAGTTACTGGCTATGAGCATGTTACAGTCCAAAAGATAGAATAGAACTTACATTGCTGTAGCAGAGTTAAACATTGCATCATTTTCAAAAATGTTTACAAATTGTCTCACCACCAAAGGATTTTGATCGGACGAATACCATTCATAAAATGTAGGTTCCCTCTTAGACAATTCATTCTTGATAACACTCTCGAGGGGGGTGAGCAAGCGGGACAAACTACAATCAAATAAAACATCACTGAATAGACACCCAACAAATGGAACAAATCATAACAGAGAGGATGAATCTAATGTCACTTGAACATACTACAAGCCTACAAGTAAAAGCAATCAATACGATACAGATTCATCTTCATTTATGCAGCTGCAGACTAAAACCTAAATGAATTATGAAAACAACACATATTTTAGTTAGCACCGTGATAAAATAAAATTATTCCTGATGCTTCAGCTTTGGCAGAAGTATGCATGTTAAATCCATGCAAGACATTTCAAAACTCTTTTGGTTAACTATATGTACCCAAAGTGAATAGAACTAAGGCACCAAGACCTTCATGTTAATAATTTAATAGCATTCTACCTAGTCACATATTGTTTTACACTCTTTTCGTTAATATACTTCAGTTATGTGAGTTTGCCAGTTTGCTAATTGAAAATTGCTGGACTACTTCCGGATCAAAAAATGCAACTACAACTTAGAACTATAGACCTCAGCAGTAACTTGTTTCTCACTGAGAGTAAATTTCCAATTAGAATTCAACCTCTTCTGAGATCAATCAGCCAATAAATCAAAAGGCATACTTAAATCTTATCTTAACAATTTAATATAGATGTAAAGGAACTTTTAAAATAGGACATTGCTCCCAGAAAACTTCAATGCAAGGGATATCATATACTTAGAAACAAATGAGTCTGCTCCAAAACAACATTTAAGCAGTATGATATGACAGCAAAGGAAAGGGCTAGAAGGTAGACCTCCGTTGAACAAACACATTAATATCCCTATCTCTGCCATTCCCACGAGATGAAACATCAATAACTGCTTGCAACAATGAGTCTACAGCAGCCTGCAAACATTTTCTGTAAGATTTCAGTGAATGGAAAAAATGTGTCTCACAGGAATTTTGGACTATGGCGAGCACAACAGCAGTGAGTGTGTTGAAGATATCGTATAAGAACAAAGAAACATTGACTCAAAGCAAGTTCAGTTATGGTGCTTGGCTCTAAGATGGTTATAAGTAGCAGCATCTTAACATGTGATTAAACAAAGAACATTCCAAGAGACATTTATGTTTCGTTTCAGGTACACTATAAACCTAATCTTTACCTTTTTCATGACTTTAATATTGTGTTGATATAGTAAAAAAATCAGAATGACGAGATAACAATGACTGCAAATGTTCTGTTTCTTCATGTGAATACTGAATAGGGGCAAATGTACGTCTGCAGAATGTTCAGTACTGTACCTGGTAAGACAGTGATTTTATCCAAGCATTGTTCTCAACACCCAGCCATGTCTTTGGAAACCACGAGCTCTTTGACGATTTGTTGTGCTCTATGAAAGCCAACTCAATAGATCTTGCAGCATCATGTACTGACTGGACGAGTCCATTGCTGATATCTTCACTCTGCAATGCTTTATTCAATTTCAACCTTATTTCATCAATGTTGCTTGTCGAACCAACTTGCGCAGCTCCATTAACAGATACACGGTTGCCATCATCGTCAGAAGCCAATGGAATAATGTGAACCATCCTTCTAGTTCTCTGGAAGAGTCCCTTGTGTCTCCGAAACTCCAACCATCTAGCACTGTGGATGGTCCTATCACACTCCGACGGTGAGTTCCTCAAGTAGCACTTCCTCTTTGAAATGCAGGAATGGAATTTGTAGCTCTTTACATCAACAATGCTTCTACATACGAATCTGAAACCATATACTTTCTCCAGAGTATGAACCTTTGATGTGCTGCAAACACAAACCGTTTGAACCATCAATACATCAAATCTGAAAAAATGCACTAGAATTCAGCTATACCAAGATCAGAAACTCTTGATATCAATATCTATAACTATATCTATATTTTATATTTCTATATATCTTATAATCATAAACCTAACTAGAATTCCATCTCAACATGCAAGTCATCCACATCAGCAACTCACTAGAGCATACAATTATGGCCCTATCTCTTCATGCAAGCTATCTACGTCAGCAAGCTACATTCATCCACTAACATACATTTATTTGTTCACATCAGCAATACCATAATATCCACAAATTCATTCGCGATTCCTGCAGCAATGCACGGTCTATCTTCTAGTATCATCAATTGATAATCGCAGGATTCCCATCGACTAGCCCAATAAATCAATGTCAAAGGCAAGCTACTATTTAAGACAGAGACAGCGGTCCCTAATTAGAAGTGAGAGCAAATCCGATAGGATATATAAGTCACGTCACTCGGAGATCAGTATAATCTCAATGAATCAGACAGAAATCTAGCAGAGCATCTGAAATTGCCAATCCCCCCAAGTCGGTTTCAAGGTACTCCCCGGTTGGAAGCTCTGGTGTCTGAGACCACCGAAATGTTACATTCACACAGTTCCTCCAGCCGCGCAGCGCCGATGCATGCGCGCAATTCCACGACCAATTGAACCAACCCCACGATTACAACCAACACATTCGTCCAATCCATCCGCTCGCGAGCGAACAAGCCAAACGCTCGAATCGTGGCGCCTAACAACAGCGTAAGCGGGAGAGTAGACGAACCTGGCCGTGCACCTGGGCTCTCCGCCAGCGCCGAGGGGGAGGTGGCGCGGCTGCGACGCCACGGCGGTCGCCATCGGTGGGGGGCGGCAGCTGCTGCAGCTCCTGCGCGCTTGTCGCCGGCGGCGGCGCGGGGCGCGTCACGACAAGGCGGGGACGGGAGAGGGATAGGGTTTATATGGTGACGGGGAGGTGAGCTAGCGGTCGAGAGGAGTGTGAGGACGAGGAGGAAGAGCGGGAGGCCACACCGCCAGGAGAACGGACGGGGGAAGGGGAGGCGAGGAGGAGGGCCCCGGAAACGATAGGCGCTGGACGCGGCCACCGGTGCCTTTGCCGGGACGCTTCACGGGGACCAACCAACAACCAGACCGTTTCCTTTTTCCTTTTTCTATTTCCCTTTTTTCAACTCTTTCTTTTTTTTTTATATAGGGATCTATATTCCATTACTCAACCATATATCAGCTAAATCGCTTGACAGCTCGACTAGAGCCCGTAGATAGACAGCTCGACTAGAGCCCGTAGATAGACAACTCTGCTGTTTTGGCCTTGCGATCCGCCCATCCCATGTTTCTCGCTTATTATTACCTGTGGATGGAAGTGTGGTCTTTTACCCGCTTTCTTTTTATTGGATAATATGTAAGGGACTTTGAGCCGATCATCTTCTTCTTGGCAATCTAATCTGACATGACATCGCTAATGAGCTCACTCCAATATTTCCGTCACTCTGACGATGACTAAAGCTCCAGTTGTAGAACAATATCGTAGCAACCTTTCATCATCATGTGAAGGCCATTTAGAGAGAGAAAATATATTATTAGGATAACGTATGGTGCAGATAGAGTTCGTAGTTTGAGTGACTGTATTATTGTGCTGGAGTGTATAACTTGGTCTCGATTCTATGGCTTGCGTGAGAGCACGTGCCCTTTCTTTGTGTTTGTGTGTGTGGCAGCATGTGACCGTGTGCGTTCGCGTCCGTTCTTATGTGTGAACTGCGAAGCAAAGCTCTGTTTCTCTACGCACTCCGAATTATGTTCTACGACTATGTCAGTACTTTGGCACTCTCAAATACTGAAACTGGAACAATGCGTTATATTATGCAAATAATGCAATCAAATCTTCGTGAGTCGCCACAAATACCTCGGTTATATATATACAAAATAAACACTGTAAGCTATAAGGTGTCTAGTTCTTTAAAAGTAAAGCTTTGAGTTCACTTGTGGCAAAAGATTTATGGAGCCGTTTGAATCGCTTCATTTTAGAGGAATTAAAATCTACATAATGGATTAGGCTATTTGATTGAAATTTGACATTCCATAACTTTCCCAAGCTCACAAATAAACATATCTCAAATTCATAGGATAAAAGATGGAAATGGATTATATAGATCACTATGTTATAATTCTATTCTTCAATTTATAGCACACTCTTCAACTCAATTCTATACAATAAAAAATGCAACATATAAATATATCCCTTACATGCCTAACAATAAATATACAAATATATTAGCTTAATTAGTCTATGCCTAAATTATAATTATTAGAATGAATTTAATTCCAATGATCCAAACGAGTCCTATGAAAAATGCTCACACAGAATGTTGTTTAGGCATCGAACATATCCTTTCGACAGGACACACAACACAGTACAGTAGTACATCACGCCACCACTGACAGTCGAAGAGAGCCTAACCTCTGCTTTCCATGAGAATATTTTAGACCCGAGGACTAGTTCCGGCATCAGCATCAACCATGCTGACTCAACAGGGAAAAAAAAAAGCGGTTGCACTGGAATCGACGATTCTATTTACTGCCAGAAGAAACGCAGAGTTAGGCACTCAAGCTTCTGGAGTTTGATCTTGCACGCCGGCACTGTCATTCTGATCCTGCTCCGCTCTCTCGCCAGCACCAGCCAAGCCACTGCCACTTGCATGATCACTAGAACGGCTTCCATAAACATGACCCATCTTCAATCGCTTTGTTTCCATGTAGCGCCTATTCTCATTGGTTATCGGTGTCAGCAATGGCACTCTGCCAAGGACACTTAAACCATAACCCTTGAGTCCAGTATACTTCGCAGGGTTGTTAGTCATCAGCCGCATGGTCCTCACACCAAGATCACGTAGTATCTGCAGAGAACAAAGACTAATCAACTCCACAAGAAACCATCTGAAAGCAGTTCAAATGAAAGTGATCTTTACCTGTGCACCTATACCGTACTCCCGAGAGTCAGCAGGCAGCCCTAGCTCCAAGTTAGCCTCGACAGTATCCCGCCCATCATCTTGTAAGTTGTATGCTCGAAGCTTGTGACCCAGCCCAATACCCCTACCCTCATGGCCACGAAGATAAACTACTACACCCCTGCCAGTTTTCTCAATCATGGTCATTGCCAGAGCAAGTTGATTCCCACAATCGCATCTCGCTGATCCAAATATGTCCCCAGTTAGGCACTCCGAATGCACTCGTACTAAGATATCCTGGCCATCCCCAACATCACCCTGCATGAGTGAAAAGTGTCATTCTAAAATTCCAAACATATTGCTGGGGGTGGGGGGGAAGACTAGGCCATGCTCATCATTTAGACAATCACTAAATTCGAAAACAGAGATGTTTTTAGTTGTTTGCAAGCAGACCATATCCGGGATAATAATCAGATCTTTTACTCATCCATCTAATGGATGTAGCTGGCAAAATGTCTTGTCATAATGTGGTGCATTTGGGAGCAACATTTTCACACCCTTCAGCACATAGCATGTGATTTTACCTTTCTACATCATGCAATGAGGTCCTTGTTTTTCAAAGTTCCTAAGCTGCCCATGCAACATTCAAACTTTTTGAACCTGATGTTTGAAGTGGTAGCCATCATTCTAATGAACATAACATTTAGTGTAGCCATCCTCTGCTGAACATAACATTTACTGACTACTGAGGTATGCATACCTTCACCATGGCTATGTGTTCCATCCCATCAATAAGAGATCTATAGCAATAGGATTTAAACGAACCCCATTGTAACTGTAATGGTGTAACACAAACGCACTCTACCAATCTGTCTCTCTTTCTCCTATATCTGCAAATGGGAATGTTCACAGCTTAGAATTACAATGCAAGACTATCATAAAAAAATGCATCTAAGTACAATCATCCCTCAATTGCAGCTTTTATTTTACAAAAGAAAAGAAAAGTTCGCAATATGGGCCTACACCTACGATGAAACATATATTTAACACAAATATACGAAATGGCCATAAAAATGGGGAGTTTTACTTATCATTTGTCATAAAACAGTTAGGATCCTAGGATCCAATATATAATAGACTGTCTAAATCAATGAAGAATGTTTTGTCCTTGAAAAAGAAGAACTGCTACTTGAATATGTCAAGACAAAGCTAACCTTATCAGGTCTGCGATTGATATTATCTTCAGGTTCTCCCTCTTAGCAAATTGTTGCAGTTTCGGTAACAAAGCCATGGAGCCATCATCGTCATCAACAATTTCACAAAGAACTGCAACAGGAGGTAACCCAGCTAACATGGCAAGGTCCACCGATGCTTCAGTATGTCCAGCCCTTTTTAACACACCACCTTCTCTGTATTTAAGAGGAAAAATATGTCCTGGCCGGTTGAAATCCTCAGGTTTGGAATTAGGAGACGCAAGTGCCAGTATTGTGTTTGCCCGATCGTTTGCTGAAACCCCAGTAGTTGTTCCCTCCTTGGCATCCTAAAAGTGTTTAGCAGTGAAAATAAGAAATGGAGGGATAAAACACAAAATGCAATCAAGGTGTTAAGCGCAAAATGCTTTCTTTCAAAACCTGATAATTTTAGTTTATACTTCCCAAAGTACAATTAGCACAGTTTGCACTCTTTTCCTGTTAATACAAACTTATGCAAGTGTTCTTATTCTACAAAAAGAAAAGGCTAAAAAGGAAAAAGCCGTACCACTGAAACAGTGAAGGCAGTTCGCAGTTTCTCTTCATTTTCCTTTGTCGTCACCATAAGAGGAAGTTGTAGCCTTTCCAGATCCTCTTCTTTCATGCTGACACAAACAATCCCAGTGCCATGCCTCACTATAAAAGCCATAGCCTCAGGTGTGACCTTTGATGCTGCCATTATAAGATCACCTTCATTCTCTCTATCCTCATCATCCACAACAATGACATACTGCAACATAAACTCAGTTAGAAATTTATAGATGTAATGGAATGACTGGCATAACCACACAAATATCAATAAATGCGAATTTGGCAATCAGGACATACTTTTCCTTGACGAATGTCCTCAATAGCTTCAGGTATAGATGAGAAACCCTCTGTAGGGAAGTCTAGGTCAAGCTCATCGTCATCAACAGAAAAACCATCAACAACAGGAGCCATATCAGCTGCAATGGTCCCAAGTGCAACAGCATCTGCTTGAACTGCATTAGATGGGTTGGCCTTCCCATTTATAATAACATTCTCTGATGAACCACCCACAGCATGAGATATATGGAACTTTCTGAGTCGGCGGGTATTTTCCAAGCAAATTGATCCGATTGTCCTTAAACTGTTTGATGTAACACTTGGTAAAAGCGAAGCATCACAACACAACCTAGAAGTCCTGGAGTGACCATAGATGTTGTTTAGCCATGAAAAGTGTTTTCCACTACATGAGTCAATTTAAAAAACCAAAATTAATAATGAAACAAGCAATTATTCCCAAGAAACTAGAGGCCACTGCTGTAGATGCTTTCAGGCCGATATGTTTGCAAAATTGCAGTATCAAAATTCTTGCTAAGGCTCTGACAAGAAGACTTCAGAAAGAAATCAGAAAGCTAATTGATCTCAACCAATCAGGCTTCCTCAAAGGGCGGTCTATTTCTGAGACCTTCGTTTTTGCGGCTGAATTGGTACAAACCTGCAAGAAGAGGAAGCTGACAACTTTGGTTCTGAAACTAGACTTTGCAAAGGCCTTCGACACAGTAAATTGGGTTGGGCTGGATCTTGTTTTGCAAGCCCGGGGCTTCTCTGTGAAGTGGAGGAATTGGATTCAGTCTATTCTGTCTTCTTCCAGATCTGTTGTGCTCGTAAATGGTTACCTGGGCCCATGGATCTCTTGTAAACCGGGACTCCGACAGGGAGACCCATTGTCACCATATCTATTCCTTCTTGTTGCCGACACCCTTCAAGCTCTCATCAAGAAATATGCACAAGATATCAAACACCCGATAGATAGCTCAGACCATTGCGCCATGCTTCAGTATGCCGATGACATGCCTATTGTCACCAAGGGAGAACTCCGTGGAGTTCAAAAGCTGAAAGAAGTCCTTGATCTATTTTGCGGCAGCAACGGGACTGACAATCAACTACAACAAAAGCACAGTAGTGCCCATCCATCTGGATGAAAACTTGCTTCAGCAGTGCATTGGTGTTCTTGGGTACAGACAGGAATCTTTCCCCCAGAACTATCTGGTCTTACCACTATCCTCAACAAAACTTCCAGCATCAGCATTCTCAACTTACATCGACAGAACGGACAGGTTTTTGTCTTCCTGGCAGGCAAAACTGTTAAACACTATGGGCCGTGCTGTCCTCATCAACTCAGTTCTTGACTCTCAGCTAGTCTATCTGATGTCCTCAATGCAAGTTCCGCCTATGGTGATCCAACAAATTGACAAGCGATGAAGGGCTTTCCTTTGGGCAGGAGATCCTCAAGCTATAACTTCAGCTAAATGCCTTGTGGCTTGGCAGAATGTCTGCACCACCAAGGACTTGAGGGGGCTCGGCATCAGGGACTTTGGGACTCAAAACATCTACCAGCTACTTAAGTTGGTACACCGACTACACTTCGTGGACTCCTCAGCCTGGGCACAGTGGGTAAGGCAGCCTGCAAGCTTAGCAAACCTAATAGGGGATATGTGTGGGCATCACTGAGAAACTCTGCAGGCTATCCTACCTTTATACCAGGCCATTACCACAGTGCAGCTTGGTGATGGAGAAATCGCTCTCTTCTGGGCGGATTTTTGGTCTGGAGATGATTATTGCTCAATCGTTTCCCCGCTCTGTTCAGTCACTGCACACAGAAGGAAGCAACGGCACGCCACGCCATCCTATCAAATCTTGAACATGCCTTTGTTAACAGGTTATCTACTCAAGAACGAGTGGATTTGCAGCAAGTAAGAGTGATTATTGCTCAATCCTTTCTCTCGGCAGAACAAGATCGGAGACTGTCCCCTTTTGACTTGGGTCAAGGAAAACTCGAAGCGTCTGTGATATACAAGCTATTAAAGGCCAAAGGGGCACCCTCTGACCAAGCTGCGGATTTCGTTTGGAATAATGCTACGCCTCCTAGAGTTCAGCTGTTCATGTGGCTGTGATCAAGGGAAGAATTCAGTGCCGGGCCAACCTATTCAAGAAGACCATCGTTGATTGCCCTTCCTGCACCTCCTGTGGCTATTCTGAAGAAACTACAGAGCACCTGCTCTTTCATTGTGGTCCTGCGGCTCACAATTCTGGAGCGCCATTGGGGCCTCTTTACCGCAGACGGGGATACGGTCTAGCGACATACACACAGCCATCAAGATCAATACTGTGCCCGCAAAGCAACACAGCATGTTCATCGCCCTATGCTGCTGGCAGTTACAGAAACGACGAAATGGAATAGTCTTCCGAAACGAACCGCTCTCCCTACGACAGCTTCTGCTTTTCATGGAAGGTGGAAGCCAAGCTATGGCAGGCAAGGCTGCCGAGAAGACAAAAGCCGATCGCTGACAACTGGTGCAGGCTTTTTGAAGCCTCAATTCAAAGCGCAATGTAGACTCTGCTGATTTCAAATGTAAATTCTTTCCCAGAACCTTTGCTATCATGTAAGCCAAAAGGCAAAAAGCTTAACAATCAATGAAATCAGGTGGGGAGTATGGTGGTAGGATAGGTAGGAACATAATACAAAATGCACAAATCCACCAATCAATCCTAGAAATAGGACCAATTTTCCAGTCTAACAGATCTAAGACCCTAAGGCTAAAACAAAACATACCTGTACCTTATATTGGATACCTGATAACTGACTCACCAATACCAAAATCCATACTCGTATTAGGGTTATATTGGATACCTGATAATTGACTCACCAATACCAAAATTCCATACTCGTATTAGGGTTACTACTGTTCAGAAGTGAATACAGCCATACTGGCCCTAAGATTTTTTTCTCTCACTATATACATATACTCTTAACTGCATTTTACGCAAGAGATTCCATCATCTGATGCCTGTTCAATGCAAAATTAAGCGAAGTCGGAAGGATTGAGGAACTCGCCGAGCGCACGACGCTGAGGACGGAGGCGCGATTGAGGCCATTTTTTTTCGGTGAGCGAACCCTTCCGATTCGCCGCGAAATTCCGCGCCCGCGCCAGGAATTCGTGGCGAGTGGCGAAGCGAGCCGCGGCGTACTGCGAAACTCCGCTCGCGCTGCGCGGGGGCCGGGGGAGGGGGTGCGGCCGAGGAGGATGGGTAGAGACGTCACTCGAGAAGGCGACTCCGCTCGCGCTGCTCGGGTGGGGAAGGAAGACGTGGGGGCTGAGGTGGATGGGTGGAGACGTCACTCGAGAAAGGCGGTAGATAGGATCGAGTCTTTATTTTGAGAAAAGAAGAGATAGGGTGACTACAGAGCGAAAGCGCCGTGGCGATCTATGGGCCGTAAGACTACCCACAATGTGAGTAAGAAGCGACGTCGAAACATGGAAAAGTGACTCTTGGCATCGGATAGCGCTACTGTGTGAAGCGATGCCAAATTCAAAAATATTGGCATCGAGGAACCTACATGCATCGGTGCTGAGGAATAAAATAGTATTTCATTGCTGGCGTTTGCTACTTGCTCGTGCATAGGAAATGAAGATGATGCTCTGACATTGATCCCTACAAGCACATGTATGTCGATGCTGAACACTGTGATAGTGGAGTGTTTTTTCAGCATGGGCTGTGATAGTTTTCTCAGCCTCGACTACGCTGTGGGTAGTCTAAGGTCGCTAGAGGCTGCGAACGTGCCGCTCTGCTAGGCCTGGTAATGCTATCCATATAAAGGCCCTGCGCAGATTGTCCATGCTGGTCCAACACTAGACCATAAAGTGAGAATCCGACATTAGTTAGCCCATAAAATGAGAATCCGGCGGTCTACTTGTCCTTGGTTTGGCGTGGAGCAGTTGACACCATTTTTTGTCTTTTTGATCTCGCACGGCACGTGTTGACACTTGACAGGTTGTAGTCTAGAAATTTGTTCAGTTCAAGCCCAAAAATCCTGGCCAGAACCGTCCCCACATATCGAGCTCTGGGTTTGTATCTTTTGAGTGTGAAGGTAATTAGAATAGATATCTTTTGCCACAACAATTTCTTAGAGTTTATGTTTTGACCCGACACAACAAAGACCATAGCTTTTTAGACTTAGCTTGGCAGCCTCACACCAAACCTGTCTTTTGTAGTTGGTTTGCCATCACATCAACCAAATCATGAGGTGGAATTACGATAGGACGATGGAAGGTTTATTGGTTGTATTTGGGCTTCGCCCCATGTTTGGTTGGATGGACTATGCCTAATGCAGTATTACTCAGCGCAATGTGTTCGGCTGAAGGCTTCGCTATCATACTAAGGCCCTGTTTGCTCACGGGAAGAGTGTAGAAAAAAGAGAGGAATTGAGTTCTTATGATTCTATCCACTGTAGCATCGTTTAGAACGTAGGAATGAGCATGAACCTTTCCTTGGGACGATAAGAAAGCATGGGTTTTTGGAGGAATGAAAAAAAAACCCACTCTGAGCAAAGGTTAGTCATTCCTGCGATGCTCATGTGCTTGCATGCAAGTTCGCGACTAATGAAGCCCAGATTCCTATATGACTTTATCGATTAAGAGAGAAGATAACGAAAGAATAAGGCTTGTTGTCCAAAAAAACAAAGGATAAGGACACACTACAAACACAACAATCCCCTCTCCCTCTCACCCCGCATCTAGACTAGATTGCAGTTCAACTGTGGTCCATTTCTCTTGCTTGCAGGATAAGTTTCTTTTGCTTCACCATCATCACCATGCACCTCTACCACTACTTTAAACTGTGTTGATTGCTAGTTTAGGTTCGCTCCAACTATTTACCACACACCATCTATTCGACAAAAAAGCCTCTTCATGTGAATGCTTTTCCAACCTCCCACACTTGTGTCCACGTGTACTGGTTGGTAGCGCCAGAACAAAGCTCATGTGTGCAATGGCAAGCATCTCTACACTTGTCATCAATGCATAAAACCCTAGGCTGAGAGCAATGATAGGGCGGCCTAGCACGAAGCCGCGAACACCTCAAGCTCTGCCACTAAGAATCCGTAGACATGACAAAGGTGAGATGGGCATTTAAGCCGAGCAAGAGTTCACCCCGCGTGCCTTGGTCCTTGAGGACGTCCACCATTGCTCGAAAAAGATGGCTACCAGATCTTTCCTCGGCGACTATGGTATCAACGAGTTTCTTTTGTTGAACTTTGTGGTGCAAACCGATTCACACAAGCACAACTTGGAGCTAGAGCACGAGGAGGAGAGGAGGAGAAAGTCGACAATGATGGTAAATGACGGGTGAGAATGAGTATGATTTTTGAGAGATGAAATAAGTGGTAAGTTTACCTCTAGCAGTACAAGCAACAAAGTATAATAATAATGCCAATGAAACCAAATAGTAGCGGATGGCACAAGTTATTAACTAAACATGGATTTGGCGATTATAGTCTAATGTTGTACTTACACATACTACCTCCGTCCCTTTTTAACTGTCATTCTCATTTTTTGGAAAATCAAACGTACTTAGCTTAAAAAAGCATTAATATTTACGATACATAATTAATATCATTAGATAGATTATAGAATCTATTTTTATAACAAACTTATTTGAAGATATAAATGTTGTTAATATTTTTTTATAAACTTAATTAAAATTTTAAAAAGTCTGATCGACGTAAATAGCATAGCGACACCGAAAAGAATAGAGGAGTCAAAATTTACCGACGTCTTCCATGAGACTCTACCAGGATTACCGCCTCAACAAGAGGTTGACTTATGCATCGTAAACAAACAAGCAACGGACGAAGCAACTAGCGCTTTTATCCCGCCATTGGGCCTGTGCGCTTGAGGAATCTGGAAGAATTTGGGAGAGAGTGAATATTATTTTCAGCTCTGATTTTCAGCTCCGTTCGTGTCAGCCGAACGGCGCCAATAAGCAACTTCTTGTTTAGGGCGGGCTATCTTCACTCTTTGAGCCTGAGAAGGAAGGGTACCTATGACGGAACATGCAGAGACGGTGACCGCGAGATATATGACGTGGCCACTGATGCACGTCCACGTCCTACCCATTACCGTAGATTCCGCCCAAAATCAACATCTGAACCACACAGCCACACCTGACGATCCCAATCTACCTTCTCACTGCCCATGGGGCCCAGGCCGATTCCTGAAACAAAACCTGTGATGATCTGTCAAACAGAAAGGTTACGGACTTCACAACGTACAGTAGAGAAACTGACATTGTGGTCCCACTAGTACACTTGGACACTGTCCCCAGCTGTCAGGAGCACCCTGACAGATCACGCCTCTCCAGTCTCCCCGTTTTATAAACAAAGCAAACAAAAACAAATCTTAGCTGTTGCTCTCCGACGACTGCAGCCACCACTGCCCATCCCGCTGCCTATTCCCGCTCGCCGCCGCCGCCGCCAATGGCGAGCCTCCGGCTCGCCGTCACCCACTGCCCGGCTCTCCCTCTCCCGACCCCCCATAGCCACCTTCGCCGCTGCCATCTGCACCTCCATCCCTACCCCAATCCCCTCTCCCTCTCACCCCGCATCTCCTCCCACCCCTCACCTATCCCTCGCCGCAACCTGCCCCCGCTCCTCGCCTCCGCATCGGCCTCTCAAGCGGCAACCAAGCCGCCGCAGCCGGCGGCATCGGGCGGTGCTAAGCCGCTGCCCCTCTTCATCTCGCTCGCCGCCGGCCTCGCCGTCCGCTTCCTCGTGCCGCGGCCGGCCGAGGTAACCCCGGAGGCATGGCAGCTCCTCTCCATCTTCCTCTCCACCATCGCGGGGCTCGTCCTCGGCCCTCTCCCCGTCGGTGCGTGGGCGTTCCTCGGTCTCACCGCTACCGTCGCCACGCGCACGCTCCCCTTCACCGCCGCGTTCGGGGCGTTCACTAACGAGGTCATCTGGCTCATCGTCATCTCCTTCTTCTTCGCGCGCGGCTTCGTCAAGACCGGCCTCGGCGACCGCGTCGCCACCTACTTCGTCAAATGGCTAGGGCGCAGCACTTTAGGCCTATCCTATGGGCTTGCCATCAGCGAGGCTTTCATCTCGCCTGCCATGCCTAGCACCACGGCCAGGGCAGGAGGGGTTTTCCTTCCCATCGTCAAGTCGCTGTCGCTCTCGTCGGGAAGCAAGCCCAACGACCCATCGGCGAAGAAACTCGGCTCTTATCTTGTGCAATCGCAGCTACAGGTAATAAACGCTGCG